TCATAGGTGATTTCAACGCACATTGTGTAGAAACCGCTGCCACGATCGAAGAACAATTCAAGCCGATATACAAGATCTCGTAATCACTGTTCGTCTTTACAATCACATCACTTTTCCCACTTGGTTCAGTACAGGTAACAGGCCATCTGTGCTGGATCTTGTGCTTACCAACTAGGAGCACATGATTGATGTTTTGATTTTAGACTGCCTGTTGGGTCGCAGTGACCACGCAGTCATCAGTTTCAACTTCGTCTGCTATGCGAACTATCGGAATGAGAACGATGGGACTGTGCGAACCATCACAAGCTACGATAGAGTAGCCCAGCTCGTCAGCGCCACAAGTTGGTTGATCCTTGCCGAAGGGCCCCCGGAATTCGCCTGGCTCCAGTTCGTCAACAACTTCAGTCAGCTGATTACAGAGTCCTCAGAAATAAGAGTTTGCTATAAGTATGCATCAGTTTCTTTCGTTAAGAGCAGATCTCGGAAATGGATGACATTACGCAACGCAGCATTCTGATTATACATAGGAGCTCTAACACCAGGTACTTGGGACAACTACGTAACCCAACGTAACCACTGTACTCAAATTTTAAGAGAAGACAAAACTGCCTATCAGCAGAACATCACAAAAGCCATCAATGCTAACGACAAACTGTTGTACAAGCACGTCAAGGGCCTACGAAAGGTGAGGCAAGGATTACCTCCACTCAGGACGGCTGATGGCCCAACAAGAACAGCTGTGGAAGCAACAAACGCGCTGAGGATACACTGTGCACCCACGTTTCAGAGGGTCTTGGCACCAAGTGATCTTCCAACTTTCATCATCTTCCCGTCAGGACTAACCCACACCACTTTTACTGCGGAGGCTGTATTGCAAAAGCTGACGTCCCTACGCAAACACAGCTCGCTGGGTGTCGACACCATTCGTCCAGAGTCACTGGGAGCATCAGCAAGCCAATAGGCAGAATCTTTGGCTCGGTTTTTCCATGGCTACTTAGACCAGTATCAAGTTCCGGACATTTGGAAGCCTGGAATAATAACTCCGATTCACAAAGGTGGAAGCAGAACTGGTCCCTCCAACTACCGCCCAGTATCTGTTCTTCCTATATTCTCCAAGGTCATGGAATCCGTAGTTGCCGATGCACTGGTGTGCATCTTAAAATCCGTAACATCATCACGCCTGAGCAGCACGGTTTCCGCCGACAGCGGTCATGCACAACGAATTTACTAATCGCACGCCGTAGTTGGACTGAGGCAGCTGACGCTGGAGAAGGTGTTGATGTGAGCTACCTGGATTTTTCGAAAGTTTTCGATCGTCTAGACCATCGGATACTACTCTCCAAGCTCCAGCATTACGGGATAGGCCACCTTCTTATAAGATGGATTACCAAGTTTCTACTCCAACAACAATTGGCGCACAGAGTTCGGAACTCTTTATCGGACTACATACGAGTCGAATGTGGTGTGCGGCAAGGCTCAGTTTTAGATCCACGTTTGTTTTTTGTTTATTAATGACCTTGCACAGGGAATCGCTTCAAAGTTCCTAATGTTTACGAGCGACGTCAAGATCTGAGTCAAGGTACATGCGAATGCCGACCAGCGTCTGCTTCAGAATGAACTAGATACGGTGTATCAATGGGCAACCCAAAACATACTACATTTCAACGTAAGTAAATGCAAGGTGCTTTCCATCCTACATCAGAGCAACTACTCATACCGGTTTGGAACGGATATACAACAAGCAACTCTCGAACGTGACTTGTGTGTCCTGGTTCAGGATAACTTGGGTTGCTCCAGGCAATCCGATTGGCCTCGAAGACTGGAAACCAACACTTCGAGCTGTTGCGATGGGCGTTCGGACCAATAAACAGCTCCTTATTTCGACAAATGCTCAGTGCGTATGTTCGCCCCCATGTCGAATACGCAATTCAAGCCCGGCATCCATGGCTGAAAGACGACCTAAATGCACTGGAGCAGCCACAACGTCAGGCATCTCAGGACGTAATTGGAATGTGCAGTCTTTCATACCATGAGAGGCTGCAACAATTGTGGGTATTCAGTAGAAGCTATCGCAGATTACGAGACGACCTGATAATATCATACTTGATTCTGCGAGACCCACATCATGTGTGTCGCCCTTTACTGCAACTCAGCAGCAATACAAACCTGAGGGGCCACTCATTAAAACTCGCAAAACAATACAGTCATCTGGAGTGCCGCAGAAAGTCCTTTTCCATTCATGTCTGTCACCTATGGGATGCTTTCCCAGAATCGGTCGTCTTTGCACCGACACTAACAGTATTTAAAAGACGGTTGGATGACAGACTCATTGACTTACACTTTGTCAATTAGAACTAGGTTTCCATCCTACACCTAGAGTTTACCATGGGATTATTTGACGTTAACTGCGGGTGCCTTGAACCTAAGGGGATTGCATTACTACGGCGGAGCAAATGATAAGTCCTTATTTGCATATTTAAAGTACTTACTGCCTTGCAATCATTATTCTCATTATCGTTATTTCGATCACCAACTATCCAACGGGAGTTTTAAAGCAACGCTTCTTAAAACGTATAAATTCATTGTTCTTTGTTCTTACTATATATATGGTTGGCGGCATCCGATTTCGGATTTGCCTGTCACTGTGGCCAGTCACAGGACGCCTGCGCCTACAGAGGGACCATGGATGGCTTGTGCTGCACCACCCACAGCTCCAACCACATACCCCATATCCAGTGTAAACCCGAAGTAATAAGACCCGGAGGCATGTGGATGGGAGCCACGTTTCATCAACAGAGCCGGCCCACATTCCTTCACAGGCAAACACAAGCACGCTGTATTTGGGAAATCAAGCGCACACAAGGCGGTGGCTGGACCGTAGTCCGCTCCACACTGAGTGCATGGAACCACTCTTCGAGCCTAGCACAGCCACAAAGACCGTGCACCCCGTCCCCTCCAGCAACGACCAACTGTCTCCTGGAGCCAGTATGGACGAGGTATTGGGTAATAGACTGGTAGGCACCTTGTCAACATGCACATCAAGCGCATCCACACCGGGAATATCAAACAACAGCAAATCACCTGGAACGACAAGATAAAACAAATACAATCATGCATACAGATACGGTGGCATAACTCTAAGCTAAATAATCATATGAAGTAAGTTGGTTAGCAATAAATCCGCGATAAAGAAAAAATGTCCACAAGTTAGTTAAAAATGCTACAAAACGCAACAGAGTTACCGAAGATAAGCGCAATTAATGTAAGCAACGTGGCCAGTTAATAGAAGAGTATTCAGGTAGGCAGAACAAACCAAATAGAGTGGAATGAAATTTGGCCAGCTTAAAAAGACCTAGTCTAAGTGTAAGTTGGTTTAACCCAACTGCGGTGAAGAAGCATCAAGAATGCAACATCAGCGTCAGCATGGGGCAATATATATATATATATATATATATATATATATATATATATATATATATACGGATATATTTTATTTGATAGTGCCAATTCAAGTGATTGGCTGTTGTTTGGTATCCCCGGTGTGGATGCGCTTGATGTGCATGTTGACAAGGTGCCCACCCGTCTATTACCCAATACCTCGTCCATACTGGCTCTAGGGGACAGTTGGTGATTGCTGGATGGGACGGGGTGTAGGGTCTTTGTGGCCGTGCTAGGCTCAAAGAGTGGTTCCATGCACTCAGTGTGGAGCGGACTACGGTCCAGCCACCGCCTTGTGTGCCCTTGATTCCCCAAATACAGCGTATTCGTGTTTGCCTGTGAAGGAGTGTGCGCCGGCTCCGTTGATGAAACGTGGCTCCCATCCACATGCCTCCGGGTCTTATTCCTTCGGGTTTACACTGGATATGGGGTGTGTGGTTGGAGCTGTGGGTGGTGCAGCACAAGCCATCCATGGTCCCTCTGTAGACGCAGGCGTCCTGTGGTTGGCGACAGTGACAGGCAAATCCGAAACCGGATGCCGCCCATCATATATATATATATATATATTATATATATATATATATATATATATATATACGTATGTATACTCTTGTTCCTGCTCGTCGTCTGATTCACCATGCTCATCCTCAGGTGCCAAAATTGAAGTGCCACGAAGGTCCCAGTTGATATCTGTTGTGGTGCATGTTTGGATATTTTAATCAACCATGGAAGTGTCAGTACGTTAGCATGCAACCAATTCTTTTGAAGTTATCAGGCACTGTATGGGTTGTAAGAGGAAAAATTGGCTTGTCTGCTTTAGGTCCATTTTGCTTTGTTGTCTCGGAATCGATGTCTGCAAGACAAGGATACTCTGATTTATAAAAGGACCTGGAGACTTATACATTATTCACCTTCTTCCACGGGGCAGCGATTCAGAACACGTCGTCCAATAAACACGCGTTTACTGAGTTTGGTTCCTCACATACCTTATCCCATAATGGTAATAATACATAGAAGCTGTCTTTTCCTACACGTTAATTTAATGCTTGTATAACACCCTGATCAAGGGATTGAGCTAGCGCATTGGTGTTAGGTGGTAGTATCTGTTGTTTGACGTCCTTTACCTGAATTCGGGAATGACAATTGGCGTTGTCAAGGAACAAAATGAAGTTACGCTCTTATGTTGCATCAATTTGTCAAAGCTTATAAGCCAATCTTCCAAAATAATTGTAGTCACTCACGCCTTTGTATTATCATTCTACATCACCCGTAGTATCTTTCATTGATGTTTATAACAATTCGAGGTTTGGCTGATTTCTCAATTACTAAGAGGCCAGTTCTCGCTCAACCGGCATGTTAGTAGACAGCATAACTGTGCTTCGCTCCATGTTTCTTTTTCCACCAGCATATTTTGCTCATCTGAACATACACACGATATCGTATAACCTGCGTTTGACCACCGTCTTAACTATTCTAGCTCACTAAATTTGTGAAGTTTTTCAAAGATCAGAAGTTGATAGCCTGATTGGTAAAGTAATTGATAGAACTTGGATTTAACCTACCTCAGCTCTGAGGCAGCTTTTATCCTCTGGGAATGCATGGAGTTTTGCTTGGTACCAACTTCCTGGATGAATACCACAATCCAGTTCGGATGCATGCTTTGCTACAGCGTCATCATCCACACTGGCGCCCTCCTCATCGTCCAATTTTGAACATCCTGTCTCGCTTTGACTTGTTGCGAGAGAGGGAGCTGTGGTCTGCGCGTTTTTAGGTGCAACATAACGCACACTTATTGGACTGCTGGTGGTTTCTTCAGATGTGCTTTCGGAGTGCGGTGGTGCTGATCGACTGCGGCGTGAATTGGATGATGACGAGGAGGCAGCTGCGCAGGACAAACATGAACATTCGAGACGGATAGATTTCGAATACTGGATACTAAAGGGTGATCTATAACGGTGGCGAACTAGTAGCTGCTGTAAGCAAAGTGGGTAATTACAATCTAATGTCTAAAAGTCGACTTTTATCTGTTGAATAAGATTCGCCAAATACCTTACTCTATTCTGGAGTTACTTGTTCTTCCCCAAACACTGGAAGATAAATGTAACAGTTCAAAATATGTGGTTTCCGTCCGTAACCAACAGTCTTAGTCTACCGTGTTTCGAAGAAAGTCAAACAGGGAGTAGGGCAAGCACTATCATACCTCTGCGATGGGTGCTAAAGTAAAATATCCTGTAGCAGTGTCCAAACGCATGTTAGCAGTTCGAATATCCCGCATACATGTGTTCCTAAGTGAGCATACATATTCATCTATGTGTAAATATATGTGATCACCTAACCTGCTGGTAAACGGCTTTCATAAATCTGTACAAAATAACAGAATACCGATATATTTCGATTAAATGTAGGTGCCTGCATGTAATTTGGAGAAAGACGCTTGGTCAGGTGATAAAAGGACATGCACATTGAAGCATACAGTGCCCCTTAATTATTTCAAATTTCTACGGACTCGTAAGAGGAAACAAATTGGAATAAATGTGGAAAAAGCTTGAGCACATCTACACTTATTCAATCACCATTTGTTCGAACATACACTGGACGGTCGATTTGTTTCTCCAGGACTCCACTCTGGTGCGAATTCTATCTGCCGATCATTGGCTTATACCTGTAGCCTTCGGCTTTCGAGTCAACGTTTAAGGTCACCGCACACGGAGGACGAGTTTTAGGCACAGTAACCAAATAACTAGCTGTGGTATAGCGCTGTGTTCGTCCTACACAATTGCGTTCTTTTCTGATGTACAGAAGTACTGAATGGCCTGCAGAGACACAAACTAGCCTTCTGAGCCCCTTGTCATCTGATTGCATTATAAACTATCTCGGGCTACCTTTAATAGAATTCGCACGCACGTGTCCAACACAATCGTGGAGCAAGTGTTTTAAGCGTAGACCAAAGTATAGCCGGCTTGAATGCCGTAGAAATTTCTTTTCTCTCCGCCTGTGTCAGCCTTGGAACGCCCTCCCTAAGTATGCGTCTCTGCTCACAATATGGCGATACTTAATAAACGTGTTGATGATGCATTGTCTCACTTACATTTCATTTTATGACTTGTTAGCCAGGGGCTACAAAACGCAATCAAACGATGTCTTGCCAAACGCCTAACCAATGGATTTATGGATTTATACGTTTAATACGCGAACATCTCCGCTATTCCACATAAGTCTATGGTGAGTCCACCACAACGCTTTTCACTTTATTATGCAATTGATTTTCGCGATAATTTCCATCCCACGAGACTTGTTAAGCGATGCTTTTTTACCCGTAATAAGCCATTGTTCCATTGTTCATGCTTCCTGAGACATGCAACATCCTTCGGACATTCCAAAAGACGCTAAAACCGTGTCTAGATAAAGTAAACTGAAAGTGAGTAGACATAAGACAGTTACGCAGGCCATTTGACAGATTACTATCATCGTATATCCCTTCAGTACGACTTGCTTTTGTAAAATGTACCGTGACTAGTATAGTAGCTGTTGCAGCCACTATGAACACCGGAATACACACAACGCAACTGGAGTTGAAACTTACTAAGCAAATTATCCCCGATCCGATTGTTATTTTCCGTTGGCTTCCTGGGTTTAGCGACACGTTCGTGAGGTGCATCTGGAAGTGTTCCATCTTGTGTGTGAAGAGCATCAAATTGTGTTGCTGCTGTAAAGCCATTATTGCAAGGCCTCACCTCCGCCAATTTTCCATCTGTTATCTGACTCTCACACTGATTTGTCCCCGGATATTTTGGTACTTGAGTAGTCTTGCTGTTCTCATGTTGATTTGCGGGGTTAGTTCCGCTGTATCGGGTCCGTGGATTCGTCCTATCCTCCACCACGGTCTCACTCCGACTCGCTGGTATACTACCCACTTTGCTGCCAAGTTCACAAACTGAGCTACCGCTAGTTGATTCCCCGTGCGAAGAAGCTTCGCTATCGCGTATAATACTTTCGTATCCGCTGCTGGTGTGCCCACCCCCCTTCCGAGAGCGAATGGAGTCAGGTACACACACCGGGAACCTCAGCTTGGTACCCTTGGAAGGATAACGAGAGTAGATAGTTGGGTCCATGAGGTAGTTATTTTCAGTAGAGTTCTCCGGTGTAGCTGCAAGTCTGTTGTTTGTATTTTCCTTTGAGGCATCATTCGTTACAGAAGGGCCTAATTCCGTTAGATAATTCCTACAACATTTATCTGTTTGTTGAGCATTTGGCTGGTTCACCAAAGATTCATGGCGTCGTCGATGATAACTGTGGTTTGGATTACCTTGCCGATGACGCTGATGCTGGCGTCGAGTGTGGCAATGTGTCTCCGGTGACTGCTGTTGAAGCTCTGTTGGTTCATTGAATGGTGTGTGATTTCCGCTACACTCACTGCCGTGACCGCTACTGGACTGAGCGGAGAACGTGTTCCGACACGATGAGGCGTTACACTGAATGAGCCCTGGGTTCCCATTGCATTTTGGCGAAGTGTGAGCGGTTACTGCTCTTTCATCAGACATTTGCTTGCGCCTGGATGTCTCCAGGCCGAACTTGTGGTCCATTGCAGCGGTGCTCAGGATAGCACCACATATCGTCTGTTTGGCCGATTTATCCAGGGACTGGCTGAGAAAGCGTCGTGTTGCTGTACTACATACTCCTGGATGTTGAGGCAACGAGAAGCACTGGTGGGCGACATTCACTTTGGCATGGGGTTGTATCATGGGATTAGTAAACTCCTGTTTTGCATGTTTTCCCGTCTTCTCCACTGAATGCCGCTTGCGCTTATTAAATATTGGACTGGTGAAAAACTTCAATCTGTTCTTGCTTGACTAAAGAGAAAAGTGGATGAGGTACAAGGATTGGTAAATAAGTGAGTGAACGTAGGTTGCCAGGCGAATGAGCATGGCTGCCGATGAAAAAGTTTGTGGAAATTACCGATGAGGCATGTGAATCACTAGAATAAAGCTGAACAAAGTACGACGTTTACAGAACAAATGAAGACGTGTAAATAAATGCAGGACATTTACTTGGAACTAGACATAACAACTTTAGTTGTGATCATAAATAATGTATGCAGTCCTTGCCATCTGTCCGAGCAGCATCCGGAAACCATATGGCAGGTGTTGAGGAACGAACTGATCCATACTTGTTACATAAACGTGGACCAAGTCAGAAGCTGCGCGTCCTCATTACCGCACACTAAAGCTATTATCGTACTTGTCGAAACTTTCCAGAGATACCGAAGTTTGGATCCGTTACGCCGTAGACATTTCCCAATCGAACAAACGAGACCTGGGGAAAAGACCGCTACAAAGGTTACCAATATTAAACTAGCAGAGTATTTGCAGTGGGTTCGGATTGCGGGGCGCTTTATGGTAAAGATGTTTAGTTTGACTATGTGATTCAGTTGACAGCTTATATTCAAGTGTGTCAATGCGAATGGGGCCAGCTGTAGAAAACAATGTTGAAAGCAAACAACAGTTACCACGCACCAAATGTAAATATGTCTCACTGTTTCTAATAACCGCAGTCAAAGTAGAGTCAACTCGTTGTTTATATCCACATGCTTGATGAAAGCAAGGGATAACAGGTATTCAAAAATGCACCACTGAATGCTACATAGATGACGTTGCTAAATGTATGGAAAAAGACCGTTCAACATTACTGGGGTGTTGCGTCAATTCCCTACAAACCAATACCGAACTAAGCTTGTCTGAGCAGTTTATGGTGGAAGGAAATATTAGCGAGCAGCATGTTTCTACCCAGTTTTAGTCAAAACCAATGAGGTTGCCCCAAGTTAGTATATTTATTGCATTAACAACGCGAACATTGAACCAAACAAAGTTTATCACATTCCAACATAAAACTAGATTGACGTTTAAAAGCGGACCATAATAGTCGTTCAAGTAATGGGATATATATGCTTCTGTTTCAAGAGCTTGTAGTATTAGATCGTGACATCGAGTTAAGTTTCAGTGTATGACACTGTAGGTGCGATAAACGCTGAAGTGATGCTAGTGTTTTTCTTAAGCGATAAAATTGCACTACCTAGCAAGTTGCCTACACATACTGAATCTTGTAGCAAATGTTACATAAAATAAAATAACTCTGAATGTGCGAAAAGGTAAGGCTTCTGACATCCTGTCGAAATGCGATTGAAACTGATCCCTTTTGGATGTTTCCAGTTTTGTATCCCACTGGTTGCACTCCCGCATGTCCGTGTCAGCCAACTGGTGATAACATGTGCCCTAGAAAAGGACAGTTTAGTTTGTCAGACTGTGATGCACAATTCGGGAGATTTCTTGCTCCGAAACCGTATTGTATACGCTGCCACCATGCAATACGCTTCTGTTTAAGCTGCTCCCATTCAAAAGTTAGTCAGTGGCACTAGTCCAAAAACAAGACTGTTCTCGGGTGCTAAGAAGATCAGCCAACGGCCCGCAATTTACAGCTTTGTATAATCTTGCACTTCAACTCCATGTTTCGTAGTTTACTTAGCTATCAATCTGTCGTAAATGCGTGGCGCGGTGGTTAGCGTAGCAGTAGGTAACGTAATACCAACCTGACATTTGGATTCCATGGAAATGCACGGATTTCCAACTTTATTCGTGGCACGTCATCTTTACAAAGGGCACAAAGTTCATCGGGAGTAAAATGATCCAAATTCACCCTGTCTTCACATTAAATAACGCCAACCACCCTCGGTCACCATGTGGGCTGTGTTGTCTCTGTCGAGCTGACTGCGTCCCGGTTTCTTTGAACTCCACTGGATGGAAAATGGCGCGATTCTTCTACCTAGCCGTGATAGCGGCAGGATGAATTTGCTAGAAAAATTAGATGCTGTATCCTGTAAACTAGTCAATTAGCGTTCCAACTCTGATTATGCTTTTGTTTACCGTGGTATGCCAGTGAGTACTCTGAGCCTCGGAATGCGTTAGTTATTACTAGTTCGGAAACGGTCAATTTATGGACGGATTTCTGACACCACACAACAACCTATCAGTTAGGGCGACGGTTCTTTGCTGCTTGTAAGGTGTTGATTACTTTCATTGAATTCTGCTTTGAAAAAGAGTGGTTGCCATATATGCAAGGGTAGTTAAGAACATTCGAATTTATTACATATTTACGCAGCCGACAGCTGCTGACTACAGAGGAATTTTATACAAAAAATTTTGGTTGTAAACAGAAGGTGGTTCAGAGTCCATAGTCCGGTTCAAACTGATCTCACACGCCAACCCTTATACGGAACTGCTGTTAAACGGGTCTGACACGGACGGTTCGAGAATGTGACGGGTGAAAAGAGAAGTATTTAAACAACTGGATACAAATCAGCACAGATGATCACCCTCTAAACATAAAAGTAAAAAATACTAATCCGAGGGCTTAACTAGCTGGAAAATATGTAACTGTAAACGACGGTAACGACCTTGTAAGTTTATATATTTTTATGCTAATCTGCATGATTAAAAGGTTGAAACGACTTAACGTATCAGGTTAACTGCATTTCATAAGTAAGGGAGACTAGTATGTAGGATGCTGATTTTGATACTTTGGTAGAAGGAACATTGGTAAAAGAGCAAGGCAGTTATTAAGCGACGCGACGCATTGTGGTAGTTAGAGATTTAACACGCCTTTGGTAGGTTGTTTGATAGTGCTCGAGATATTAGTGCTCTATCCACTGAAAGACCTAGACACTGAATGAAACTTTCCAAGCGAGCATGGCTTTAGTGACTCAGCTATTTCGTTTAGGACCATGTTTGGTAGACTAATACTGAAATGTATGCACCGGTGTGTAGCAACTGCTAGAAAAACAGATTTTATCAATTTTCAATTATAACTAGTTTCGCATTTCCGAACCTAGAAAACGCGGGGATTTGATACGGATTTTGTGCTATCACGCTGAAGTTGTCTTCATGTTAGAGATGCTGAATATTTCGAAGAGACTTCAGTTATACAACCTCAACATCGCTGGCTATCCTGTTGAATTCATTAAACTATTCACTGTTTCTCTCCGTTCAAATGAGTGGAGATTACGAAAAAATGAAATCTCAATTTTCTTTTACTTTTAGAAAGCTATCATTTTTAGGATGCTAACTAGGATTGCGTCGACTATCATGAACATAACACATCCGTCCTCTTCAGTCTAAGTCTTTGATAACGTAATTTTGCTCAATACCGAAAGCTTTAAGGTTGGAATTTCGACTGAAGGCGAATGGAGAAAGTTGAAGGGGTTTTAGATAGGTACAAATGAGTTCATCACAGTAAACCACAATCATACGGCCGCGGCATATTGGAAGAGCACTGGACGTCATTTGTGTCTCGCTACGTCTTAGGGATTGTCTCGGCAGTTGCACTAACCTTCACAATCGGTTCGAGAACAGCGACTCATACATGATTAAACGTCGTGACGTATACTCTTTAGATGATGATAACGTGCTTAAACTGCAGACAGCAGTTAAAGATCGAGCAGAACCACAGGACGATTTCCATCACCGTTGGCTATAGGAGAACAAAAGTTCATTCATATAAAAGCAATGGGTCGCTACTCCTATTCACAAGGAAGAAAATCCCACTAACCTTGTTGATTACCACCCAGTAACTCTGCTTCCTGTGCTTTCCAAAGTTCTGGATTAATCATTACAGACGCAGTGATGAATTATCGGACAAACTATAACATAGTAACCGCGGAGCAAGTTGGCTTCCGCTAAAATTTATGGGATCCTACTAACCCGTTAATTGCAAGCTGTAGCTGGACGGAAACAGTTGATGGTGAAGCAGGAGTCGACGCCTTCAGCCTGGACTTCTCCAAATCATTATATCCATCAGATCATCGAATTCTCATCCGCAGGCATCGAAACGATGTCATTAATGACGCTATCATGGGTTAGGTAGTCGATTTTCCTTATGTTTGTTGGTAGTGGGATTCTAGGGATCACTTACGAAGCAATCGAGATCGAGTGCGAAGTAGCACAAAGCTCAGTGTTCTCCATAAACGATGTAGCAAGGACACCTGCTTCTGATTTTCTGTTCTTCAAAAGTGGTGTCAATATGCGGCGAGCAATCAGGAACCTTGAAGACTAAGAAGCTCTCCAAAACCAACTTGACGAGATTTCCAACTGGTCAGTTATAAATATCTTGCTATTCAAAGCAAAATCTCGCGTTGTTAATCTGCGTCATAAGCATGAATATACTAGTAGACTTGGAGCACACAGCTTAGGTACCAGTTCCTAGGAACGCGAACTTGGCGTACACATACAGAATAAAATTAAGTGTTTATGACCGGCTGAGGCAACTGCAACAGGACGCAACCAACACGTCGGCCTTTTGCGAATTACATTCGGAAGTTTTGCCCCTTTAGTCTTCCACATGACGCACATCTATTGTGTGCGTCATCAAATTGAATACGTTATCCAAACTCGGCAACCGTTATTGAAGCTCGAACTAGAGGTGCCAGAGATACAACGACGCAGGACAGAAATGGACGTCAAGCGTGTACTTCATTTCATTTAACAGCAAAATCTGAAGATTCTAGGAGTTCTCAGTGGACGCTATCGAAGACTACCTGGTGGTCTCATAGTAGTGTGCAAAACATTGAGTGACTACAAGCACGTTTGTTGTCGCTTGCTGAAACCAAGCGTAATATTAAACTCAGGCGTAGCCGCCTGAAACTGAGGGAATAATTTGGCTGCTAAGAATACCGACAGAATTTTTATTTTCTTCTGATTAACAAAACTAGTAAATCTTCCAAACTCATGTTTCATCTCGCTACCTCAAATATTTTCAAAAAACGATTATTCTTTTCACTTAACCCCTGGCACTCCAATACCTT